AACACTTTGAAGGCATTCAGTCGACTAATTGGCAGACAATGAGGTTTAAACCGCCGCCTCTTAACCAACAGTCCATCGGTTGGAGAGTAGAGTTCCGTCCGATGGAGATCCAGATGACTGACACACAGAACGCAGCCTTTTCTGTGTTCGTTATATTGTTGTCCAGAATTGTATTGAAATATAAACTCAATTTCATTATTCCTATGTCTAAAGTAAGATTGAAATAAATATATTATTTGTATATTAATATTTATAAACTATCAACAGATACACCAAAACATAACAACAGCCCTTAAAAGGGATGCCATCAATAGATGCAAATTCTGGTTCAGAAAAGACATCTTCACTCAAAATACACCACAAATTCATTGTTTCAAAAAAAATAGAAACAGATATGAGAGCGAAGAGGAGTCGTATATAGAGATGTCTATCAATGAGATAATGAATGGTTACGGAAATGAATTCCCGGGTTTAATACCACTAATCAGGGAATACGTCAAAAGTATAGCACTTGACGTTCAGACCTATAATAAAGTCCAACAATATATCCAATTGATTGCCGACAGAGCGTCGGCTAAAGTCAAGACAACCGCCCAATGGATCAGAGATTTTGTGCGAAAACATGCGGACTATAAATACAATTCTGTGGTTAACGAGAAAATTACTTACGATTTGTTAAATACTTTAAATCGCATTCAAAATGAGGAGATTTAATGAATAATTCATTAAATTAAACTAATTATTAGTTTCTGATAACGAAATTATGTAAAATAAATACTTTAAAAATAATATACAGATTTAATTGATTAAACTTTTATTTGTTTTTTGTTTCAAAACCTTTTTGTTTTAATTGATGAAACTGTTGTTTTAAGTAAATAAATAATTAAATATTTTGCTTTAGATATTTTTATGTATTAAAATAATAATAATTATAATATATATAATAATTTACTAATTAACTCTTATTAAATCACACAAATGCACGAAACATCGTCTTTAAGGGTGACATATTATGATTTATTGTACATTTCATTTACTGAACAATATAGACAATTAAATAATAATCTATAATGCAAATTAAATTCTACATGTAAAATTCTACTTTACATTTTAAATGGTTTGGTCCTAACCTAAACCATCTGGACTTGGATATTGGAATTGGAAAATAATTTGCTTATACAGGGCAACCTATCTTAACGCAACTTCTCTTGTGGGAACAACTCCTTTTAAGGAACTGATTTAAAATATATTTTAGATTTTCTATACTCATAACAGAACCTCCTTTAGAGGAACCCTCTCTATAAAAAACACTGTTGCCGTGCAATTTGCCGGTTCTTATGGAGAGATTGCACTGTATAAGAACCGCTATAATAATACTTTGCAATTATAAACCGTAAAACATTAGGTTAACAATTACTAAAATGCATACAACAACAATCCTGGTAATTGTNGGTTAACAATTACTAAAATGCATACAACAACAATCCTGGTAATTGTGGCCCTATTGACCATCAGCGCTTATATCGTATCGGCCGATCCAAAGCGCATGTATTATATTTAATACAATTACTTTATATAAACTCATTTAATAATTAATTATTATTATCAACATTACAGCTGAACCGGAGCCTAACGCGATCCCAAACCCGGAACCTAAGCCTAAAGCCATAGCCAAAGCTATTCCCGACCCCGAAGACAGTCTCTCTCCCAAAACCTCTCCCGATTCTGAAGGCGATTCTGATTCCGAGGATGACTAATATCCTATATATTAATTAAATTATGTCTGTAAACTGTTGCATAACAATTGCCGGATATCTCGAGACATTGTTGGAAATTAATTTAATTTATTTTTATTTATTTTTTACGGAGAGTGTGTGGGAGTGTGCTGGGAGTGTATGGGGGAGTGTTGTGAGCCTACTTGAGAACACCGGGA